GACAATTTTATTGACAGATAGCTCTTCTTGCCTTGAGCTATACTGTAAATGATGTGTCTTAGAGTTGAGCATAATCGAACTTGAAGGTCTTTTGGTGACAGATAACCCTTCTAGCCTTGAGTTATGCTGTAAATGATGTGCCCTCGAAGTTGAGTGTAATCGAACTCGAGGATTTGGTGTTTCAAGAGAAACATTTTCAAAGGTTTTTTTGTGTTTCAAGAGAAACAATTTCAAAGGTTTTTTGTATTTCAAGAGAAACTGTATTCAAATATTGAAGTTTCAAGGGAAACTGTCTCAAGAGAGACAAAATTTGTTTCAAGAGAAACTGTCTCAAGAGAGACAAAAACTTCCAAAAGAAACTGTCTCAAGGGAGACGAGATTTGTTTAACGTAAAACATATTCAAAGATTTTGTTTCAAAGGAAATTGTTTTCAAAGTTTATGCTTCAAGAGAAACTGTCTCAATGGAGACAAAATTTGTTTCAAGGGAAACTATCTCATGAGTGACAAAATTCATTTCAAGGGGAATGTTTTCAATGTTTATGTTTCAAGAGAAACTGTCTCAATGGAGACAAAATTTTGTTTCAAAAGAAAATGTCTCAAGGGAGATGAAATTAGTTTCAATGAAAACATATTTGAATATTTTGTTTCAAGGGAAACTTGGAAACTGTCTCAAGAGAGACAATGGTGAGCACGATTCCTTTCGTCGTGAAGTTGAAAGCGTGGATGACCCCTTCGTTGTGAAGTTGAGCCTTGGAATTGGATATCCTTCGTCGTGAAGTTGAAATCCAAGTAAGTTGTATTGTTCCGAGTCCAATATCCTCCGCCGTGAAGTTAAAATTGGCTCTGGAACTAAGAAATTATTTGTTGACAGCCAGCCAGCCCTTTACTGTGAAGTTGAGCTTGTGCTGTCTCGAGTCCAATATCCTTCGCTGTGAAGTTGAAATTGGCTCCGAAATTGGGAAATTGTTTGTTGACAACCAGTCATCCCTTCGTTGTGAAGTTGAACTTGTGTTGTCTCGAGTCCAATATCCTTTGATGTGAAGTTGAAATTGGCTCTGAAATTGGGAAATTATTTGTTGACAACCAGTCATCCCTTCGTTGTGGAGTTGAACTTGTGTTGACTCGAGTGACACGATATCCTCTGTCGTGGAGTTGAAATCGTAGGTGGCCCTTTCGTCGTGAAGTTGAGCTTTGACTTGGATATCCTTCGTTGTGAAGTTGAAATCCAAGTATTGTATATTGCGGGTAGACACGATTCCCTTCGCCGTGAAGTCGAAACCGTGGATGAACCCTTTATTGTGAAGTTTGGCTTCGAGCTAGATATCTTTCGTCGTGAAGTTGAAATCTACTCTCGAGCGAATTGTGTCGCTTTGAGTTCAATATCCTTCACCGTGAAGTTGAAATTAACTCTAACTGAAACTGGAAAGTTATTTTGTTGTCAGACAGTTGCCCCTTCGCTGTGAGGTAGAGCAACCACCATGTGCTTTTGAATCGAGCATCCTTCATCTTGAAGTTGAAACTTACTCTAAAAGCTGCAAAAACTTATGTATACAAAAAATGATAAATGTGATGCTCTTAAGTATGTCTAAGATGCATGTAACATGAATTAGTTCTGTTTTATCCCTTGGACGGAGTCTCATGCTTTGTGTGATTGTTCCTGTAAATGGAGGAAATGCCTTCAAAAGGTCTGATAATTTGCATCAGGATGTTGAATTCCCAAAGATGCCCCAATATTCGATGTTGAATCTAAAAAATGCCCCAACATTTGATGTAGAATCTTCAAAGATGCCCTCATTGTTCCTGATTTCTTGCTTCAGTATTGATTCTAAGCATGAGTTTTGTGTTTGAGAGCCACATGTAATTTACCAAGATCTACTCTAGAGAGATTGTCTTGTTTTGAAAAAAAAATGTTTTTCTTTCTTTTTATTTTCAAAGTTCAAAAGTTTTGAAAATATTACCTCTTTCACTGTTTTACAATTGAGACAAATCATAAAACTATAGGTCATTGGATATCAAAGAATTAAATACATTGTTAATCCTTTAATAAATTATAGCCGTTTGATACGTGTCAAGATCAAATCTATTTTTGGGAAATGGTTAAGTAAGGAAAGGATAAAAATGTCTCAGGTTATTGTGTTTGGTCAAAGGTTTGGCATTTTTGTTTATTTGATGCTCAAAGGTTTGATGGGGTATCTTGCATGCTCCTCTATTGGAAGTGTTCTCCGATTCCCAGCTTTCATGGTCAAGCTCGGATTATGAGATGCCTTATCAAGGAATTCGTGTGATCGCCTCAGCTGCCCAATTTTTGTATTCGAGTCGCCTTTTCAGGTTTTTAACTTGAATCCTCCTTTGGTTTCAAGACGTCATTCGTAATTTATGTCTTGAACCCCCTTTTGTTATTTTTCTCTATCGTTCATTAATTACACTATTTTTTACAAATAAAGATTAATCCTGATGGGCGGGATGAAATCTGAAGATAGTCTCTTCTGTTCAGAACTTCATGTATAATTATAAGGGACTTTTAAGGCACGTAATGTAGGCCATGGTTCATGGTTATGAAAGAAAATGATAAATAGGCCCAAACAAGTGTTTCAGGGTATTGAACCAAGGATCAATTCATTCTGATGTCTTCAATCATATCTTGCTCAATTTGAATCTACTCGTATGTGTCTCTCTCTTGATGCTCTATGATCTTCGAGTGAAGTGATTCAGAAATGGTTGTGCTTGATCAATCTCATTTGATGCTCTATGATCTTCGAGTGAAGTGATTCAGTGATTCGAAAATGATTGTTCATAATCAATCTCATAGTTTGAATCTCGGTGCGTCGTTTGAATCGAGAGAATCTTTGCATATGCATCTTGTCTTCTTTTTTCTTCAATTTTCCTCTATTTTTTTTCTCTTTTTATGTTCTCTTTGCTTTTTCTCTTTTTTCCCTTTTTGTTCTTATTGAATCTTCGCACTTGGCATTTGGTTCACCTTTCAGTATCTCATCTGAATCAATGTCTTCACTCATGCGAGCAGATTTTCTCCACCTTGCCCCCCAATGTGGAGGGTGATCCTTGGTTAGGGTTGAATCAGGAAAAAAATACTATAGGCTCAAAAGGGGACACAAGAGATATATATTTTCTCATGTTGTGAAGGGATAAAGAAAGAAAGTCGTTCATCATTTCATACATGAAAGTCTTCACAGAAGAGGTATCCCCAGGGGGATAAATTTCAGGATTATTTTTATTCACATGAAAACAGTGCAATTAATGCATGGCAGAATTATTCCGAGTGAATTTTTCTTTCTCCTTCTTGCCCCCAACATGTCTCAATGTTCATGCTCCCTGCGAGATGCCCCAAGTTATGTCTTAGAAGAAGGCTCATGAAAAAACTCAATGCCTTGGATTTTAATGGCATAAAAATGTCAATTTTGAGTCTAAAAAGATAATGGTGTGACTTTATTTGACTAAAAGAAAGGTATGGGTGTATCAAAAGATAAAGGCAATGTTCAAAAGTTTTAAAGGGATGTAATGTCAAAATTTGGTCTTTTTGGTAATGACAATGAGTTATTTTGGGTAAAGAATCAATGTATTTTATTTTGGGGTTTGAGACAGGATAAGAAAGGTATAATCTTGTCATATGTCAAAAATCTATAATTATTGAAGAATTAAAAGAATCCTTAATTCATTTAATATTCGAAGAACTAAAGATTAAAATTTGTTCAATTGCTCCACCTTAGAAAGTAGCATAAATTCAATTGTTTAAAAGATTAAGCAAACATGAAAGATCAAAGACGTGTTCAAACAAAACAATCCTCTAAGTGCAAATGATATATGCAATGTCCCCTTCTTCGGCTGTCCATGCCCCTGAAGCCATCAGGTTTTGGATCTTGCGCTCCAGTGCCTTATAGTTAGAGGAATGTTTGGGGGTTCCTATGTGGTAACCGCAAACAACTTCAACATCATAGCCCTTAGGAGATGAGGACTCTTTTCTCAGATCATCTTGGCAGGCTTAGTCCTACAATCAACTGATCAAGCACCTCTTTGTCCATTAATGCAAATTATTTATGGTTAACGAACACGTTTTTTTTTGTGGATCAACACCTCTTTTGAATGATACAGATGATTGAAATAAAAATAAAAGAGAGAAAAAATGAAAAGAGTTAGTAAGGTAAAGATAATAATCAAAACAATCATGAAAATAAAAGTCCTACCCTACATGATATCTACCTCACATGCTTATTATTCCTACCGGACATGATCTCTATCCCTCAAGTTGATTTTGAAAAAGTCCTAACCGCATAAATTTCTAGTTCACATGCTTTGAACATAAAGTAAAGCATGAAACAAAACAACCTAGGGTTTGGAATGAGGTTTTGGGGTGGGCTCTAATTCTCCATAGCCTCTCGGTTTAGGTTCTAAAAAACGGTACCCCAGTTCTCCTTGTCGGTGCCCCTTGGGCTTACCAGACCCTTAGTCCTAAGCCCATTACAAGATCGTGTGGACTAAGTTAAACTCGAGAGAAAACATTCTCTTATGCCCACACGGAGAATAAATTCACACGAAGGCATAAGGTCTATGAATCCCGAAGGTTATTTGCTAGGCCCATACGGAGAATAAATTCCCACGAAGGCGTCGCTTTCGTCCCCACTTAAAAGGGTTCAGAACTCGGGTATAGAGCCTGAGATGAAAATTTTGAAAAAGCTAGAATCATTAAAAAACGTCAGTACAACTATTTATTTGAAAAATAATCAAAGATAAACAATTAGAATCGAATAAATAAATTAAAATTTAAACTTGTAATTTTCGCTAAAAAAGACAACCGGAAATTAATTTCGGTCTGACTCACTTACCTCTCCCCAATGGAGTCGCCAAGCTGTCGCGGTCGTCTTTCGGTTGGGCCCCGGAATTGGGCTTCGACTTGAAAAATGTGGATTGGAGTAGCCACCGACCTTTTTAAAACGAATTTAGATGGATTAGACACCATCTTACCTGATCTGTGTTTTTACCAGAAATGTGTCGGGTTCGGGAGTCAGTTACTGTCAAGGAAGGAGTAGCACCATTGAACCGCCCTTTCGGTACCAATTAATTTGTCGGTTGTCTTAGTTGCGAAAATTTGAAATTAAAATTAAAATTTAACAGACCCGATTCAAATTACTTACAATTGATTGGTTTGAATACCCTTAAAAGATAAAAATATTAGATTTGTAGCGGAGTATAAAATTGAATTAGGATAGCAAGTGTGCAAACGTGAGAATAATAAATAAAACAAGAAAAAATGGAAAATAACAAAACACGTAAAAATAATAATAAAAATAAACAAAATGAATAAAATGTTAAAAAAATAAAGACACGGATAAAGGGAAAAAATTAATAGAGTAAAAAAAGTAAAAGAAATTAAAAATGAATAAAAATAATGTGTATATATAAAGTAGTATTTACTAAAATAAATAAAAATAATAAATATATAATACTAAGTAAAACAAATAAAAAATAAAGTTATACATGATATTAAGAAAAAAAAATAATAGAAAAAAATAAAATAAAGTAAAAATATAATATATATATATAAATAAATAAAAATAAAAATAGAATATTAAAAAAAAATATAAAAACGTATAAAATATAATATTAAGAAAAAATATATACATAGTAAATGGAGAAAAATTAATACATCTATATATATATAATGATATAAGATATATATAATAAAAATAATATAATATAAATAAAAAAAAGAGGAATATAGTAAATAAATAAAAAAAATATATTTAAAAATATATATATAGGGGACAAAATTAATATAAAAGTAAAATTAAAGGGTAAATTTCAAGGTAAATTAAAGATTAAGATTGACTTAGGGGGAATATTAAATACTTTTAAAAAATGAACATGCATCGAGAGTACATCTAGGTTCGAAACTTTGAAACCCCACCCCTTTTTGGTTATCGGCGCCACGCTTTGGGTTATTCAAACAAAAAATAACATGCACATGCGAGAAATGAACGAATCAATGTAAAAAGATGCTACCTTTTATTTCATTTTCGAATCGTTTACAATAGTTTTGTCTTTGTATTTTTTCGTGCTTTCCTCTGTATCTTGTATGTAAATCTTGTGTTACAAATGGGGAGGATTACATGTATTTATAGTAAAAAAAACTAACTATTTTTAGAATCCTATTAACAATAGAATCCTAATGCAACTAGACTCCTAATGCAACTAGACTCCTTGCTCGGTTGTTGCACGTTTGTTGGTGTGGTTGTTACTTTAAAAGATATGGTGGTGGAAAAGTCCTCCTAGGAGAGAAACTCTTGCTAGTTCTATCTTTTAAGAAAATGAGTGTCTACAGGCGTCTATAGAGAAAACGTAGACATCCCAAAGAAGAAGACTAACGTAATGTTCATCGGAGACGGGAGGACCAGAACGATCATCACCGGGAGTAGGAATGTTGTAGATGGAAGCACCACTTTCCACTCTGCTACAGTTGGTAAGTCCATGTTCACTTCCTATATATTTTACATCAATTTACCTTATTTTCTCAGTTACATTTTATTTATTATAAAAAATTCTCGTGAAGTGTGCGTCCACCACTAATGGTTCTTAGGTTGAAAACAACACTGATACATATGATCATTTAGTTTGATTCAGGAGAATTTGTTTCCATAAAAATGAAGAACTTGGTAAAGTACCATACGCCTCAGCTTATCCCTTCAGAGTGATTCATATTGTCAAACCATATTGTTTGAACTTTCCTACATCACCTCCTTAGATTTAGGGAGAAGTGCACATGGTCTGATTCACTAAAGGTAAATTCTTCAAACATGATATTACGCTTTATATGCAGTATATATAAGAATAAAAGAATATTATGCAAAATGGGCAAATAATCCACCGAATTACCATTTGTCTGGTTACAGCTTGTGCACGTCGTTTTCCCATCATTATTTACAGTTGAACGGAATATCAAACCTACCAATGAACTTTTCAGATAAATCCTTTCATCTTATTTTTCTGGAGATAGGTTTACTTACATCTCTAAGCGTTGATTTTAGTATATAATTTTCCCCCTCGTCTTCTTTATTTCCATCTTTTCCATCTCTTGCTTCATCTACCTGTCTCTTCAATCGTATAACAATTTCCCCCCAGTTTTCCTTTAATGGATGATATTCATCTGAAACCATGTGACCAGTTCATGCATTCACATCACAACCGGCACGCCAAGCCAACGTACAGTACAATAGTTGTTTTTTCTTTGTCGTTTATGATTAAACACTTCGAAGCCATACCGATAAGGCTCCAATGGCTGATGTTGGGCCAAAACATGCTGAACGATGGAGGTCGTTTAATCGATTTCCATTTTTAGGCGACGTTAACACTTAACAGTACAATGATATTGTGAGCAGTTGAGGCAGTCCATGGCATCGTAGCACTAGTAACTTTTCGCTTTTGATTATTGGTCCCCGATTCTCGTCCTTTGCTTTAGGCATAATAGTTGGTGTTGGTTTGTCATAAAACATTTGGCTTTTCGTAATGAAACAATATTTGAACCAGACTTTGTTTCTTTAGCTGTAATAGTACCTGGCTTTGGTCCCCTCGTTACCCCGTTTGAGCTGAAACCATAAAATCTAAATAAATAAAAAAACAATTGATTTGTTGGTTAGCAATATGTCTTATCAGGCAGCTGGCATCATTAAATTGCAGAAACACTTACCTTTGAGTATTACTTGCCAAATAAAACATTGCTGATTTAATCTTACAGGTTTTGAAGTTTGAATTTCATGCTGATCATCCTAATATATATATGTTCCCATGTGGTTGCAGCTGCGGTTGGTGCAGGGTTCCTTGCCCGAGACATAACCTTCGAAAACACATCAGGTCCCTCAAAGCATCAAGCCGTCGCCCTCCGTGTTGGTTCGGATCTCTCGGCATTCTACCAATGTGACATACTGGCATACCAGGACACTCTCTACGCTCACTCCAATCGGCAGTTTTACGTCAACTGCCTCGTGGCAGGAACCGTTGATTTCATCTTCGGCAACGCTGCAGCAGTGTTCCAAAACTGCGACATTCATGCTCGGAGACCGAACTCAGGGCAGAAAAATATGGTGACAGCCCAAGGCAGGACCGACCCTAACCAAAACACTGGCATTGTGATCCAGAAATGTAGGATAGGTGCCACTTCTGATTTGCAGCCTGTAATTTTAAACTTCCCAACATATCTTGGCAGACCCTGGAAGGAATATTCAAGAACTGTCATAATGCAATCGACTATCAGTAATGTGATTCACCCTGTCGGGTGGCACGAGTGGAGCGGGAGTTTCGCCCTGAAAACATTGTTTTACGCCGAGTACATGAACACTGGTGCCGGTGCTTCGACTTCTGAGAGGGCGAATTGGGAAGGGTACAAGGTGATCACTAGCGCAACCGAAGCTCAGGATTTTACTCCTGGCAGGTTCATTGGTGGTGGAGGCTGGTTAAGCTCTACAGGCTGGTTAAGCTCTACAGTCTGGTTAAGCTCTACAGGCTTTCCTTTCTCTATTGGGTTGTAATAAGTTAGAAGCTTGTATTGTCATGCAACATCTACTTCTTGTCTGGTTTGAAATTACTTAGCGGACTTGTATCTGTTAAATTTGTATGGAAGGTTTTCTTCAAATTTGTATTTGATGACGCAACTTCAGTTCATGACAAGATTCCATGTGAAACAAAAGATTAAGGCATTGACGTTCAGTAACTGAATGGGCTGATTACTAACCGGGCTTTGGTTAGAGAGGGATTTCGAATACCCGAGGTGTAAATGATTCCTGCCTGCTTGCAATGTTTGTCACTTGACCATTGTCATGGCCCAATGCTGGCACCTGGTTTTGTAATGGGTTTTTTCTTATAAAATTCAAGGAAATAAAAAGTTCAAGACCCTTGGAGGGGTGAGCATTCGATCGAATCGAGTTGATTCAAAATATTTTGAGTTGACGCGTAGTATTTTATAACTCGAACTTAACTTGAAATTTTTTCGAGTCAAGTTGAGATTAAGAAATTTGAATCGAGTTATTCGATTTTCTATACTAATTTTATTATAACTATTTATAGTATCATGATAAAGATTGGTTCTAATTTTTTTACTTTCTCTAACCACATAAGATATATATTTCATATTCTTTTCACATTATAATGTTATCTAATATATCAAAAACAATCTATAATTATAAAATGTATTCATAACATTATATTTTAAAGAAAGTATTTTGAGGATAAAAATATTGATGAGAGTATAAAGGAGTCAAGGAATTGATGGGATGAAAGAATTTGCAAACAATTGCAATCAAGAGATCAAATTGAGTAAAATGCAAAGTTAAGGGACTAAATAACAAAGATAGTCTATCTTTAGTAAAAAAAAAATAAGAATTGAAGTTACATAGGTATTCTATAGTGGTATATGAGCATGAAGTTCAAATTTGGTGAAGAACAAACTTAAAATACATAATAAATTGAAGAAATAAGGAGATTATGAAAAACCGAGGGACTAAATTGAAAAATAAAAAACTTGTTGTCAAAAAGAGAAATTGAAAGTATATATGTATTCTAAAATAGTTTAGGATAATGTGATTCAAATTTGGTAAAAAGATTGGCTTAAAATGAAGGAGAAATTGATGGAATAATGAAATTAAAGACTAAATATCAAAATACTTAGTCAAATTTTTAATTTTTTCGAGTAACTCGAAATTTAAAAAATTTAACTTTATTCGAACTCAAAAACCGAATTGATAATTTGATTTGACTAGAATAACTTAACTCAAATAATTCAAAATAAAAAATTTAATATTTCAAATTTAGTCGAGTTTCACCCTTACTTTGGAAGGACAATTTGTTAAATCCCAATAGGCCATTTCCCCCTTGAAATCGCCTATTTGTCAAAGGAATTGATGTCCCAGTTGCCCACAAAATCTGAAAACTAAATGATTCCTAGAAATACTTACCAGAGCTCACATGTTCATTTCGGTGTTTGTAGGTTAAATCTTGTCATTATTATTTTTTATTTTATCTAGACGAGACGCATGTCTATCAAAAAGACTAATATTTCTTCTTATCTTATGAAAATTTGAATACAAGCTGTGATTATGGCAGAAGCCTATATGTATGTAGATTAGACAAATAAATAATGATGTTAATTTATTGGGTAAATTAACTTTTATTATATTTTTATTTTGATCATTCATTTTTATTTTTTTTAACTTAATGCTCAACTTTTGAAGTATTACATTTTTAGTCCAACATTAAATAAAAAATGATAGGGTGATGTGATATGTTTTCATTGATGTGAAAGTCACATGTCGTTCACCTATTTTTTTTTCTTTTTTGTTTCATCATATTTTCAAAAAAATAGTTTAGAATTTTATCATCATGTTATATCGTTGTCAAAATCTCCACGCTCTAAAGTCTTCTTCAACCACTTTGAATATCAATAAATTATCTTATCATCCTTTACCACTTCATCAATTTACGTTTTAGAATCTCTTAAAAATTTGCGAACCTTCAACTCAAAACTTAGAAAAAGTTATTTTGATCTATAATCCTCACTGTTTGTTTGATCAACGTTTAGAATCTTGCTTGATATATTACTTGCCTTTTCTTTTTTTCATCTTGTCGTTGTTGAGATATGAAAAGATGATCCAACATCAAACAATTAAAGAGAATCCAAAAACTTAAGTTAAAATTTTATGAACGAATATTTCATATGTATTTTCATAATTTACAAGATTTTTTATAAATTTAAAAAGATAGATGTATGTCGTAACGCCGTCAAATATAAATATTAAATAATAAAGGTGAAGTGAAAAAATAATACTTTCAAAGTAGAGTGATCAAATTGAACTTTTTAAAACTAACCAAAATAAAAATACAGTCAAAGTGATGCTAATGTGTAATTTACCCCCAATTTATTATATAAAATTATATAATCATAATTCTGTCCATTTTCATAATCGATGATGATTATAGTAATATCTTAACAAGAAGCATCGAAGAGAGATCCTATCTTTCGCCTCTTTTTTTGTGTCTTTCTTTGTATAAAAGAGACTTCCTACAAGCAAAGATCGTTAGAGAATTATAAAAAAGACGAGCTACGGATTTAATCAAGTCTTTCAAGGGCTATGGTAAAGTAGACGAGGGCGAAGAGCGAGCTATCAAGCAAAAGACACGAAGGCATCTCATCATCCTCGTTGTCTTTCTATTGTCGTGCTGTTAGCTGTAATCATCGGCGCTGTTGCAGGGACTCTGATACGCAAGAGGAACAACTCGTCTTCCAACAATGTACCCCCAACCGATTTGACTCCGGCAGCTTCGTTAAAGGCAGTTTGCGGCGTGACCGATTACTCACTTTCCTGCTACTCCAGCATTTCTTCCATTGCTTCCTCAAACGCAACTGACCCAGAGATCCTCTTCAAGCTGTATCTGAAAGTAGTTATCGACGAGCTCTCGAAGTTGTCTCAATATCCCAAGAAGCTGCAAGCTGAAACCGATGACACCCAGGTGAAACATGCTTTAGATGTATGCGGAACCCTGTTTGATGATGCGGTTGATCGGCTCAATGATTCGGCAACTTCCCTGGAAGTCGGGGAAGGAGGGTCGATATTGTCGAATTCCAAGATCAATGATTTGAAGACTTGGCTAAGCACAACGATAACTGATCAAGAAACATGCTTAGATACTCTGGAGGAATTGAACACTACAGGCATTTCAACATCACACTTATCAAAGAACTCAGAGCTGCCATGCAGAACTCTAGTGAATATACCAGCAACAGTTTGGCTATCGTTGCTAAAATCCCGGGTTTGCTGACTGATTTCAATGTTCCCATTCACCGTAGGTTGCTTGGGTTTCAAAAAGCTGCACCTTCAGAGTTCCCAGCTTGGATTAGTCCCACTGAAAGGAGACTGTTGCAGGAGTCCAAGCCTACACCAAATGCTATTGTGGCTAAAGAAATTCCACTCTTTCAAGAAGGTTTCCCGGTCCATGGGATATGGTGAGAAGGATATATCCTTGGTATCTTTTCAGTCAGTCTCTAAAGGTAAAATTCGTTTTATCATTGTTCTATTATTTCAGTTTTAGAAGGTGAAAGAGCTTATGCAAAATTTTGAATTTTTGACATAAAGAATATGCATTTTTTTTTACTGTATCCAGGTTATTATGGCGAGTGTGGAAAAAGGGGTGGCTACATGGAGGTAACTGGGTTCGGTGCTGATGTCAGGGAGCAAATATATAAAGTGGCACCTGTCAATCTGCGTTCAACATCTCTGGTCAAATTCTTGCTAGTCTTGTTAAGAGTCCACCTAAGGTTAAATCTTTTGCCATTTAAAATTACTTTTCTGTGTTTATCCCAGTTGCATTAGTTGCTTGACATAAACATATGAATATACGATGTCATTGGACCAGATGAATTTTGAGCTTTTCCTAGCTGCTGCTTGTAAGCAGTGGTTCTCAGATAAGAAACTTGCAAAAAACATATAGTCTCTAAACTATTGTGTTTTATTGTGGTTGATTTATAATTTGGAAGCTGTCTGGTACACAATTTGGTCTTTTAGGCAGTACTTATGTGGACAATGGAGTGAAATATAATGTTCACATATGGGAAAAGTAAAAGTACATCATTGATTGAATCATGCATGGTTTATATAGGCTTGTGATATTTGTTGCTAATGATAAAGCAAAGGACACTTGCAGCTGCAGGTTGGAGATGAATCCTATGAATCATACAGTGCTGAAAGAGATGGAATCCTATCATCTTTAGCGAGGCGTGCAAAGGTTAGTCCTTTCTTAGGTTTGATCATCTTAATTCATATGAATAGAGGAGCATTAACGTTTAGATTTAGCAAAAGTGAATTCTAAATTCCACGTTCGAATATGGTTCTTTATCCTGAAATTTTGGAAATTTGAAGTTGATTGCTAGTGTAGCAGAGCCGGAGCCTATTTAAAGCATGTTACTGAAAAAATTATTTCAATTAGATTATACTGAAATGAAATGGTTTTGTTGTTTCTATTCAATACCCCTTTTTACTGGTGCAGACATTGGAAGATGCATTCAACAAGTTGGAAGGTGTAACATGCAACAAGGCTGAAGGTGCAATCTATCTCTTTCCCAGAATTGAGCTGCCTGAAAAGGCAATCAAATCTGCTGAAGCTGAAAAAAAGGCACCAGATGCATATTACTGCCAGCGTCTCCTCACTGCCACTGGAATTGTTCTTGTTCCTGGTTCTGGCTTTGGACAGGTGAGTTCATTCTTACTTGCCTGCTGTATCTAGTTGGGAACTCTGTGAACCCTTAACATTGCAGCAGTTAGCAACTATAAAAACTGTTAAACATCAAAAGGAATCTGGGTTTGGGAAAGGACTAGTTGATAGGATCAACTTAAACAATTGAAGGCTTCTTCTTGGTTGTATTCCTTGATAACTTTTCCTATCATTGGCATGTGATTTTTGTCATAGGTTCCTGGTACTTGGCATTTTAGGTGCACAATACTCCCACAAGAAGAAAAGATTCCTGCAATTGTCACCCGTCTAACAGATTTCCATAAGAGTTTCATGGATGAATTCAGAAACCGAGTCTGAGACAACCTTGGATCCAATTCAGCACAATATGACGTGCCTTTCCCTTTTTCATACAGAATAAATCGACACTGTGTTGATGCTCTCCCTTTTCTTCTTGTGCCTCCTTTACTGTTATGTAAAGATACACCTGTTAGACAAATGCCAGAATTCTCACAACACTAACATGGTCGGCTTGTTCGCCAAGTCTACAATGAAACTGCTGTTGCTACTGTACTTTACTGCTACAGATTTCATGTGGGACTCCATTTTGCACAGAAAAGAAGAATGGATCATTGATTCCATATATATATTAAAAATGTTGGACGGTGAGGGAGAGAAAGTAGACGTTAATAGACTTTAATCTTGATTGAGATAAATAATATGTTATTATGTTAATAGTAAGGAATAGTGACAATGACTGAAGGAAAAAAAAGGAAGAACACATATAAGCATGGAAGGTTATTTATATCGACAACTTTTATGTCCTCAATGTTCAAATTCTAAAATAATACTTGTCCTTTCAAAAGGTGTAGCTCTAGATACAAGACCATGACCATGCCAATACCAAGTGAAATGACATTATATTTAAATTAAATAAATGTTTGTCTAAAGCATAACACACAATAAAAAGCTTTTCAGGATCATTTAATTTTGATTCAAAACAAAACCCCTTTTTGACTTAAGGCCCCTTCCTCTCCTCATTTTGCTACTAATACTTGAAATTAATAATAGTTGCATGTGGTCTTTAGACTTTACCAAACCCCACTTCTATCAATCTTACTGTTAAGTGTAAGATATGTAGCCTTAATTGTTTCGTAAAATAAAATAAAATTAAGATGTAGCCCGAGACATATGTTTTATGAAAAATGATAAGCGTTCTTCATAAGATTACCGAATATAATTGCTCATGGACTGGGTTGACACAGGTTGTAGCTTTCTATTTTCAATTTCTTTTACTTACATTTTACTCCCTAAATAATACTGAATATTTATATTTATAATTACATTTAATATAACCATTTTATTGCGTAAAAAATAATTCAAACAATTTAATCTAGAATTAATTGATTTTGTCTTATTATAATAATAATAATAATTTAAAAACCATTAATTTGAGTGTACTTAAATTTGTGATCTCTCTTAAAATTAAAATAATTTATAAACTATATAAAAAGTCCATCTTTATCTAGAATCAAATTGGACATAACTATGTAACCAAGAAAAATCGGACATGATTTAAGATGAAGGTGAGTAAAATATATCACAGAGCCTCATCAAATGAAATTAATAGTAATGAACCTTCATTAAAAGACATAAACACGTGGAATGCCACCTTAACTCGGCTTTGTTTTTCTTGTCTTCTGTTACTTTATAAAAGCAAATTCAACAAATAGTGGTGGGAAAGAGAGAAATATGTATATATATATATAATGTTTTTATATTATATTTATGGTTGGAATTGGAAGGAGAAATTTTGAAAGTTTGTCCAAAGAGTGAGAGCCCCCAACCCATAGGTTTAATTCAAAACAGAACAAATATACATTTGAATTAAAAACCAAACACAAAGAGCTTTGATAAGAGGCATCTACATGAACATGACATTTAATCTTCATATCATACGTGTGGGTCAGCTTTTAAAGGAAAAGAAAAACTTGATAGCATTGTATAGAATAATAAATTAAGTGGTTTTTGGAAGGTTTCGGATTACAATATATGTTAGTTTACTTACCACATTGTCACGGGCCAAACTTCCATTTTTATTTATTTATTATTAAATAAATCTTGGAATTTTAAAATATATCCATGTGGAAGTTACATTTATATGAAACTTTCGTATTTTATATTAAAAAATTATAGCCATATAATTTTTTTTATCAAACCAGCCAACATAGGTACTGAAATACAAGAGGTGGAGCTGAACAGTCACTGAAACATAGTGCATGATGTCTCGTAAAACGACCGCGATTTTTCGTGCAAACAACATTATTAGTTTCTATATAGATATGATTATAATTAATTGTGAATCGAATTTCAACACTGTTATTTTTATAATATATAAAAATTAATATGAAGTACGCATTAGAATCATAAATATTTCATAAAAATTAGTGTAAATTGCTATTATATCACATCACTGATTCGTTTAGCATTTCTTATTTTAATCTTAAAAAAAGTTTTGTAGCGACTGTAAGCTGGTGAAGGATTGGTGAAGGGCATTGGAATGTGTAAGTTTACCGACAAAACAACAATAGCATCACAGCAAAGCAAACCCCACCCGCCATTACTATTTAGCTTCTCTTTCATCTATTCACTGATGTATTAGTTGCTCAAATCTCTCCTTTTTATTCGAGTTTTTCTTTATTCTCCACTTCTCCATTAACGTACACTCTCGAAGCTCCATCCTTTTACCCATCAATGGGTATCTTACTTGTCTTCTTTCTGTCACTTCTCTCTCTAGCTTCTACAGCTTCCCGGGTCGAGCAGAAAACCTTCATCGTAAGAGTCAAACATGAAGCCAAGCCTTCCATTTTCACCACTCACAAGCACTGGTACGAATCTTCACTTTCCTCTGTTCTCTCCCCTTCAACTCCTACCCAAGTTCTTCACGTATACGACAGCGTTTTCCACGGCTTCTCGGCTAAGCTTTTGCCGACCGAAGCCCTCAAGCTTCAAGCACTTCCCCATGTCATAGCCGTCATCCCTGAACAAGTCCGTTACTTGCAAACCACGCGCTCTCCTCTCTTCTTAGGACTCAAGACCACCGACAAAGCTGGCCTTTTGAAAGAATCCGACTTTGGGTCCGATCTTGTTATCGGAGTCATTGACACAGGTATTTGGCCCGAGCGTCAAAGCTTCAACGACCGTGACTTGGGTCCTATTCCTTCTAAATGGAATGGCCAATGCGTGACGACAGAAGACTTCGGTTCCGATTCTTGTAATAAGAAGCTTATCGGCGCAAGGTATTTCTGCAGTGGCTACGAAGCAACTAACGGCAAAATGAATGAAACCTCGGAGTTGCGTTCCCCACGAGACTCGGACGGCCACGGTACCCACACTGCTTCTATCGCTGCCGGAAGGTATGTGTTTCCAGCTTCTACATTAGGTTATGCTAAAGGAGTGGCTGCCGGGATGGCGCCAAAGGCGAGACTAGCAGCTTATAAAGTATGCTGGAATGCTGGTTGTTATGACTCTGATATTCTAGCCGCCTTCGACTCCGCTGTTGCTGATGGCGTTGATGTGATTTCTTTGAGTGTTGGCGGTGCCGTGGTGCCTTACTATCTTGACGCCATTGCGATTGGCGCTTTCGGTGCAGCGGATAAAGGGATTTTTGTGTCTGCCTCGGCAGGCAATGGGGGTCCCGGTGGATTAACTGTTACCAATGTGGCTCCATGGGTGGCTACCATTGGTGCTGGGACGATTGACAGAGATTTTCCAGCTGATGTTAAACTTGGAAATGGGAAAGTTGTGCCTGGAGTCGGCGTGTATAATGGGCCGGGTTTATCTTCGGGTCGGATGTATCCATTGGTTTATGGTGGATCCGGTGGTGGTGACGGGTATTCTTCGTCTTTGTGCTTAGAAGGTTCTTTGGATCCCAATTTGGTGAAAGCCAAAATCGTTTTGTGCAATAGAGGGATTAATTCCAGAGCCGCTAAAGGGGGATGTTGTGAAGAAAGCTGGAGGAGTAGGAATGATTTTAGCTAATGGAGTTTTCGATGGGGAAGGTTTAGTTGTTGATTGTCATGTCTTGCCAGCTACTGCTGTTGGTGCATCAAACGCAGATGAGATTAGGCGATACATTGATTCTGCATCAAAATCAAACTCACTTGCCACTGCAACTATCATCTTTAAAGGGACTCGGTTAGGGGTCAGGCCAGCACCTGTCGTGGCTTCGTTTTCGGCTCGAGGTCCTAACCCGGAGACCCCAGAAATTTTGAAGCCTGACGTGATAGCTCCTGGATTGAACATCCTTGCTGCCTGGCCTGATAAAGTTGGTCCATCTGGGCTTCCATCGGATTATCGAAGGGTAGAGTTCAATATTCTTTCAGGCACTTCAATGGCTTGTCCCCATGTTTCGGGACTGGCTGCTTTGTTGAAAGCAGCTCATCCTGAATGGAGCCCAGCAGCCATTAAGTCTGCCCTGATGACAACATCTTACACTGTTGATAATCGCGGGGAAACTATGATTGATGAATCGAACGGAAATACTTCAACGGTTTTCGATTTTGGATCCGGTCATGTTCACCCCACAAAGGCTATGGATCCTGGTCTGGTTTACGATATAAATCCCATGGATTACGTGGATTTCTTGTGCAATTCGAACTATACAATCAACAACATTCAAGTGATCACCAGGAGGAATGCAGATTGCAGTGGGGCAAAACGAGCTGGCCATATTGGGAACCTGAATTACCCATCTTTTTCAGTTGTTTTCCTACAGTTTGGCAATCATAAGATGTCGACACACTTCATTAGGCAAGTGACTAATGTTGGGGACCCAAATTCAGTGTACGAAGTGACAATCAGGCCACCTGGTGGCACACTTGTGACGGTAGAGCCACAGCAGCTCGTGTTTAGGAGGGTAGGGCAGAAATTGAATTTTGTTGTAAGAGTGGAGACCATGGCAGTCAAGCTTGCCCCCGGAAGCACTAGCATGAAAAGTGGTTGGATAGTGTGGTCTGATGGGAAGCACAATGTCACTAGTCCCATAATTGTGACAATGCAGCAACCTCTGTAGTTTAGAAATTCTGTTTTAGGAATTTTGGTCTTACTATATATATATATATATATATATATAATTGTGTTGGTGTTTTCCTTGCCAGAAAACAAGTGGAGTTGGCTTTATAATGCACAGGTGAATGTATAATCTGCACAGGCTCCTGGAAAGTGCAGGTCTGATATTTTTTTTTTGTAAGATTGAGAAGCAAGAATGTTTAGTGTGTTGATGAGATGCCAAATGAAAACGTGAAAAAAGGTTGCTGTCATATTTTACTTTGATTCTTTTAAATTGATGTCGGTGTATTGATTAAACTTGTGAGAAGTGGGGAAGGTGTCTTGGCAGGTAATTAAGGTGTGTCTTGGCAGGTAATTGTCACGTAATCTTTCCAGTCAAAAGGTATTATATATACAAGTAAATATTTTAACCAAATCCATCACAATGATGACAATGCGTCTCGCAAAACAAGTGGGCGAAGTTAAATTGCCAACTTGTTAGTTTGATTTGGGAATTTAGATTGTCTGCCGGTGTTGGTGGGATGGAAATGGATCTCGAAGTTAAGCAGTTTATGAGTTATTCGAATTTGAATAGATTAAGATTTAGTTAATATTTAAATTAAGTTAATTTGATTTGAGATTTTAACGAGTTGAGTCGAGTAAAGTCTAGCTCAACTTAATAAGTTTAGAGTAATTCGTTAAATTTTTAATAATTTTTTAATAGTTATCTTAAAAATTATTGCATAAAAATGTATAAATAATAATGATTAATTTACTAATATATAATAAAAATATTTTTATTATTAATTAATAATTACTATTAATATATTAATTTTTAATAAATAAAAATTTAAATTAATAATTATTTACTACGTTCAAAAATCAAACCTCAATTACCTTAGAATTTATAATGAGTTTAATAAGAAACAAGTAGAGTAATAAATTATTTTAACGAGCACGAGTCAAATAAAATTTTAACAAACTCAACGAATAATGAATAAGGTCGAATAATGAAATCTTTTTAACGAGCATGAGTCGAGTATCAATCAACTCGCAATTAACTTACTCGATAAGCACCCCTAATCATGAGAAGAGTAAGCCATCCTTCTCCCTTGGCTGCTCATAAATATTTCAATCATTATCAAAGGGAAAATTTTTCCGTTTTAAACTTGTGCATTGTTTGTAGGCTATAGCACGTATGAAACCAACGGTCTTAAATTGGGCTTATTTGGTTGATGCGTGATTTGGGCTTCAAAGGAGGCCGCTTCCTTTAATAATCGCTCCTGTATCCCTATTCTGAAATGGGAAATAGAGTAGGACAAATGAAAGCCTCTTAGAAATGGATTTTTCATTTTTGTACGTAGAAAGAAAGTGAATTAATCCCATATCTATATTTATAGTTGCAGAACAGTTGTGCAATAACGAAACAAAAGAAGGAAATTAACAGCATGCTATAAAGGGAGACTGAATTAGGGTTTTGAATTCATCGTCTCAATCAATTCTTATAAGCTCCTTGAAGTGTTATGGTTATTGACAAATTTAAAATTTTAACCATCAACTTGAAATATGTTCTGAAATATATCTTATTTATTTCCACAAGGTTACATGTTAGAGGTCTGGTCCTAACAATTAGACAACTTTGTTGCCCGCTTGCTCTGGCGGACTCACCGGATTCCAAAGTGAAATCATTTTTTAAATACTCACCACTCAGCTGATCTGATTGGTGAATCCAGGCAAGCGAAAGCTCAGCTTCAAATACAACGCTTGCTTGCTTAGACTCCTTGCACTCGTTAATAAAATCTATATTTATGCAAGTTACAACGGAAACGAAAACTTGAATCTGAATTGAATTGTTAAGAACAATATAATATTACTATTTGCCAAGTCTTATCCATCCTTGTGTGGATAAGGTTAAACAGGATGACAATATCTCCTAACAAGGGTGTCGTAACCGGTTTTTGTCCGGGCACGAAATATTTATTTGGCGGGAAAAGTAATATGAATAAATGGTTTTTTAAAATAATTTGGGAGTCGCCATCAGCCTTTTGGGTCAAGTAGGTCGAATACCTAAATATTATTTTTTAAAAGAGTTTTAAGAAAACATCAATTAAAAATGAACTGATCTGCGTTTATAACCAAAAATTCGTTCTTTTTAATAATAAAAAGGGATTCGTGGTCGGTTACGTTTAGGGAAGGATTAGCACCCCTACAACGCCCAAAATTGGTACTTTTTAATTATAAATTGTCTCTATTATTAGAAATTTAAAAATTCAAAATATATTTAATTTATAATCCTATTTAATTTAAATTTATTATTATAATTTTAAAGAAAATATATTAATATATATCTTTATTTTTATAAATAAGATATTTATTTACTTAGAAATATCAGAAAAGGGCTTCTAGTTGCTTTAAGACAGCTCCTTTCTTAATATTAATAAATAAATAAATGTTAATAAAACATTTATCTAAAAATAATTAAAATATATTAATATAAAAAATAGGACATTTATTTATTTAATAATATCAGAAAAGGACTTCTAGGTATTTTAAGACAGTTCTTTTCTTAGATATTTAAAAAATAAATACATATCAAAATATGTTTTATTTTTTCTTAAAAGTAATTTATAAAATTAAATTTATAAAATAGTATTTTTATTTAATAAAAAAATAGAATAAATAAATAACTATTATATATATATTTATATATTTTAATAATAATAATAAAATAATCATGAAGATAATAATTTAAACATATATCAAAAGTAATAATAAAATAAAATAATAATAATTAAAATGAAAGAAAATAAAAGTAATAATATTAAAACTATTGAATCATATTCATAAATATATGAACTTAAAATGTAAAAATAATAAAACTTATGGTTAAAATTAAGATCATATAAAATTTAATGATCAAATTATAAAATATAAATATTTAAGAGACATGGCTAGAGTCATCATAAAATATAAATACTAGTAGTGTAATTAGCCATTAATTATTTAATCAGTGATTAAAATAAAAATATTAAAATTATTAGGGACTAAATGTGATATTTATCCTAAATGTGATATTTATCCTAAATATATTATTTAATACTGGTAAGGACTAAAACGTAATAAAATAAAATTCGAATACTGAATTAGAACATTCAAAAATTAGGTTTAGTGACTAAAATGAATAATTACAAAACTTAGATGGCTACGGAAGAGGTTTAACCATACAAGTAAATTACGCATATACCCCTTCCCAAAACGACGTCGTTCGGGAAGGGGTATATATAACCCTTCATAGCTGGCCCGAAGGGCCAGCAGCCTCATTGTTCTCTTTTTCTTCTTCTCTCAAAAACGAGAGAAGAAGCTCTCTCTCCTTTCTCTCTTAATTCCCTCACCGGAGGGAATTCTGGCGCCGATAGCCACCGCCAATCTCACCGCCGGCCACCGCCTCTGGTGGCCGGAAAATCAAACTTTATACCACAACATAGATCGGATCGTCCCAATGACGATTCCGGTATTTGTTTCCCTTAAAAAAGCTCTCAATCAGAGCAAATCTATAAAAATACCTTCGGTTTTCGAAGGTTTGTGGTGGAGCGTGGAGGCGCGTGGTGGTTTGGCTTTCCTCGGTAAGGTTTCTTTCGATTTTTATCTCGTTATTTTGGTGTTTGATGGTGGTTGGATTGCTTGCTGTTGGTGTTGTTGTCTTCCGTTGGCTGTTTTTTTTTTTTTTCCTTTTTTTTTCTGTCCGTTTTCCTCTATTTTTGTATCTTGGTTGCTCTCTGTCCCTGTCTTTCTTGCAGGTGTGGTGGCTTTTATAGCCACCACCGAGGCTCTCGTCGGACCGGTCCCGAGAGGGAAGCTTCGGTGAGTCACCAAACTATGTGGTGACTCACCCCATAGCTGCGACGTGGACGGTCAGAGTCGTGGCAGCAGAGCTTCTGGAATGTTCGTCGGAGGCGTCGTGGCAGTACTGAAGCGTCGGCAACGGCGAGATGAGACACCTGGAAGAGGTGGCGCCGCGTGGTCCCTAGGGTTATGATACCCTAGGGTTTCAAACCGGAAGCATCTGGAGACCGTTGGATCAAAGCCAGATCCAACGGTGATGAGCTAAGGCGGCTGAGAGAAGATTCTGATAACCCTAAAAGGGTTTTGGGTCATGTTTGGGCCTGGATGTAACCGAGTTGTAAATGGGCTTTGTAATATTTAATAAATAATATATAATAATAATTATAATAATAATAATAATAGTAATTTTAATAATAATAATAAACTTAAATGAAAAAAATTGATGTCTACAGCTGCCCCTTTTTGCTCATCCTTGTGTTAACAAGAATAGAGCAAAGACGAAAAAGACAATAATTTTTTCATTTGGCTTCTTTTGAGCAGGATGGAAATGTTTGAAAACATCATGCACTGAAGGACTTACAGATGACCCGAAGGCTTTTTAAACATCAAAAAGCTCCCGAAGGCTTTTTGGAAACATCATGCACTGAAGGACCTACAGATGACCCTGAGGCTTTGAAAACATCAAAAAGCTCCCGAAGGCTTTTTGGAAACATCATGCACTGAAGGGCTTATAGATGTGGGAAATAGTTTACTAAGTAAGAAACTATGAAAATTGTTTTCTTACTATTCAACAATTTAATTTTCAGAAAAGATTGAATGAGAAACTATGGAAATCGTTTTCTCATTATTTTTTTTTGAAATAACATGTTGATTGGGTAACATGCCCCAATTTCAAGATAATTTTCATTCTTGTGGATTGCATCCATCTCTTCTTCACTTGATTAATATGGAGATGTTGAATAAATTCTTCTCTTTCTTCAGAAGAGTTCTTCTCATTATGAACTTTCCGCTGGGGATGATGTTGACCTATTTCCTGTGATAGAGTCATTCAAAAGGTTGAATAAGCTCTTGATGAGTTCTTCTCATTATGAACTTTCTCTAGAAAGGCTGATGCTAATCTATCTCCTTCTGTGATAGAATTATGCAAAAAGTTGAACAAATTCTTCTTATTATGAACTTCTTCTTCCTTCTTCAGATGAGTTCTTCTCATTA